TCAACAAAAATATATTTTATATATGATAATTTAGATTTTTTTATAAAATAATATGCATAATATAATATAAAAATATAAATAACTGTATTTTTAAATACATTGAATTATTGAACACTTACACATTTTTTAATGATTACAATTTAAGTTTTTTAATAGCTAGTAAACTAATAATACACATTCTCAACAATTATGCTTTAAGCAGTGTATTAGTAGTTAGTTAGTATGCTACACTCTAAGAAAAGTGTGTAAAAATAGGGCACAATCTACTATGTTAATATGAAATAATTTTCCGTATTGGTTTTTTACCAATAGCAGCTAACTCGGTTCATGTGATGTGTGTAGTGCTAGGCATCTGTGGTTTCCTCTTTTTGTGTAATTTAGATGGAAAATGTGTGCCTTTTTATTGTCTGAGTCACTTATCAAAAGTTGCTAAAAGTTAAATAAATTTTAAAAAATTGCTAAATTTGTTGCTAGGTGCTTTTGGAAGAAAAAGTTGTCTGGAAAGTTGCTAAGTTGTCAACACTGCGTGTCCTACAGAGCTGGCGCCTGTCAAGCGTCTGATGTTTGCTGTGGTGACGTGATGACAGCGCTTGCATGTCTTGATGCTCTGCTTGAGATGACTGGTTTGTGTATTTGTTTAATTGTTACGTCTGCACTGAAAGCCAGTGATCATCAAGACGTCAGTCTGCACTGTAACCAAGAGGAGAGATGTGACGGAGCCGGAGCGCTCCTGATGGCAGTGCAGTGTAGGCTCATCAGCGCACAGAAGATGCAGCATAGATCTGCAGAAACAGATGCTGGATCTCTATATAAAGGCCTCCGTTAAGCCGGTAAGCTCGTGTCAGGCTGGATCTGATGTGTCCTATCCGCTGCCGTCTGTCTGTCTCACGCTGATAAACTCTGCATCGGAGTTTTTTATGCTGGTTGGGATGAGTCCTCAGTTAAACGCTCCTGCTTCTCCTGTCTGGTGAGGATTGTTTGTCTTCTCTGGGATCAGATCCAGATCTTGGCTGAACTTGTGAGGGCACGTCATTCTTCCTCCAGGCTGACAGAATGAGAACCGGAGCAGTGCATTCTGAGAAGGGCTTAGTAAGCACAAAGAAAACGCTGGCATGCAAAACCATTCCCACAAGACTCCCCCGAAGTGCAAAACACGTCTAATGCTGTTAAAGAGACACCGAGACCAGCACACAACATGAGAAAACAGCAGCCAAATCACCAAACATGCTCTGTTCTTATAGTGAAGCTTTGCGATGCATGCTTCAACATTCACTTGATCAGAAGACTCTGAACATCTGGTTTATACCCATCAAGTTACAAAAAAAAAATATATATATATATATATGAAGCAGTTTTCTCTTTCACTAGATTGCATTAGCACATGGTTTTGCTTCCATTTTCAATATTGATTTTATTTAATCTATAACCGATACTGATTACTGGTGTTTATATGTCCAATAACAAATATGTATTTCATGTTTTACTTCTTGTTCAATTTCATCTTTATATCACAGTAATAAAGCATAGATTTTTATAACAGCAGCACCAATAAGCAAAACACATTGACAGATGTTTTCAAATGAAGAAATTCATAAATTGCAAGGCAGTCTTTCGGCTTTGCATTAATGTAATCATTTGCTTTAAAATTTTGACAGTTTGAAATAAAGGTTTAGGTGTCGTTAATTTGGCTAAAGAGTCAGTTATACATTGTAAACAAAGAAAACATGAATATGTTACATTTCCATTTGGAATGGTATTTTCTCAGAGATATTCATGGCTTTGTTGATCGAGGAAACCCCTGCGGACAGCTCTGCTTCTGTTTGTCGTTTGTCCTCACGCCGCACTAATGTGCTGTTAACATGTACTTAAAAACTTAACGTTGTGTTAACGTGACATTATTACCACGGTACTGTCATGTCCTCAAGCATGGTGCTACATGTATTCTTTGAGCAGACTTTTTAATCTGAAGAAACACAAATGAAAACCAACTGAAAAATACAGATTCCACAACGAGATATTTCCCCAAGACGGCTCTCACTTCTCAGATGTTTCTGCTGAGGAAAAGAGCGCAGTAATAACCAGTAACGTCAGTTATTGTGCTGTCAGTATTTTCATTCAGAGGCACATTGGTAGTTGATAAATGAAGCTTAACTGCAGATGCTGTTAGATCTGGTGAGCTACGACAGAGATCCTCTGGGATGATCAGTAGATGGGCGCTGGATGTAGGAGATGTGCTGTAATGAAGTGATAGAGGCCAGCTCTGATCAGAGATCTGAGATGCTGAAGTCAGTCAGATCGAGGAGTGATTTCTCCTCTTTCATCATTAGCGCTGATAACAGAGCCCTGGGGATCACGGCATGGATTACCCAGCATCCCCCCGCGTCTGCGGCCAAACGCTTTCCTCTTCTCACCGGTCTAATGGAGAGGCCTTCATTGACAAACACTTCGCTCTCATTCAGGCCAGTGCTTTATGTGTGTCTGCTGAGGGAAGCATGACTTTTACTATTGCTTAGTGATTCGGTCAAACCTGAACGCCAAGCATTAAACATTTGTGCTCCAGACATGAGCGATTCCTCACTTTTTATTTGATTTTACTTCCCTTTTCTGAGCGATCAGATTTGGGGCTTGGCTTATATTGAACGAGCACACAGCAGCGCTTCAGCATCGTGCTCAAACTTTCTGAAGATGATGTCTGGGTTTGACTGCTCTGACACCTTCTATATCTGTAGTCAGTGCGGAGAAACCCTGTTCTGCGGCTGTTATTATCAGCATTGCATCTGCTGTGATAAAGAATTATAAACGCGCAGAGACATGCTTCTCTCCCTGAAGACAGGTGCATTACGGCACACATCAGCATTCCCACTTCAGTACAACAGAACGCTGCAGTTCTTCCTTCTTTCTAAAAATAATCTGCTGTATTTGCATTCAGTGAGGCCACCTATATCAGCTCTCGCCCGGTGAACAGGAATTAGTTTACTAAAGCATTTAACCTGGTTATTCACCGCTCTATAGTGCCATTGTTATCAGGACAAATGTGTTTCCTTATTGCACATGAATACAGTGACGCCTCAAGTTCAGTTTACAGTAATGATGGGGGGTAACATAAAAAAAACTCAGATGCATTTGCTTTTACACGTATTCATTTAGCAGATGCTTTTATCCAAAGTGTCTTGAGGACTCAGGAATACAACAAGCGATTCGTTTTAAGGAGGCAATAAGTGCTAGCAGTAAAGAGTTTAAGCATCATTCAGAGTAGTGCAAGCTCGAGACACTGAAAGCACAGAGGAAGAGAAGAGTTTTTGCCAGTTTCTCGTTTATTCTCATTGATTCGTCTGTCTGTAGGGTTAGAGGAGCTACAGCAAATACTCAACACTTCATTCTCTTTGGGTAAAATCAACTGCAAGTGCATAGATGTTGTATTATTATGAAATATTATACAAACACACTTCTGTAATGCTTCATAGATCAGTGTTGAGATCTGGTGGATAACGTTTCTCTTTCGCCTTGCTTGAACTGGCCGTGTTCTCATTCAGGTCCTGTGGTGTGTATGTGAGAAGGTAAAGCCTCTTCTTCACTGTGATCAGAAGATTGATGAACATGATGAAATATTCTCCACTAGATCTAGTAGTTGTAGGCCAGCACAGTCAGGAGGTGTTTGGTCTCTGTCCAGAGGTTGTGATGAGGCTCAGGGGTCATTGAGCAGCAGATGGTCATTAATGAGCTGGACTCCCTCAGGCTCTCATCACACACAGAGGACAGTGAGGCATCGGCGTCTGGCTGCTGTTATGACACACACACACACACACACACACACACAGACGCACACACACTGACACACACACTCTCACACACACACACACACAGACGTGCACACACACACACACACACACAGACGCACACACACTGACACACACACTCTCACACACACACACACACAGACGTGCACACACACACACACACACACAGACGCACACACACTGACACACACACTCTCACACACACACACACACAGACGTGCACACACACACACACACACACAGACGCACACACACTGACACACACACTCTCACACACACACACACACAGACGTGCACACACACACACACACACACAGACGCACACACACTGACACACACACTCTCACACACACACACACACAGACGTGCACACACACACACACACACACAGACGCACACACACTGACACACACACTCTCACACACACACACACACACACACACACACTCACACGCACACACAAACACACGCACACACACACACACACACACGCAGGATGGATGATCTGACGTCATGCTGATGCTGGTGTGTTTAGGTTTCTCAATGCATTTGCTCAGCTCTGCTCATACATGTTACTGAGTATCAGCATGTTCTTTCCTGGTTTGCTTCATTGTTTGAGTATTAAACAGATATTTGTGGCTGTGGATCCATCACTAACAGCAGTACTCTACTATCGTAAGAATAACACCAATCCATTCCATTCGCATAATGTTTTCATGAGGATTGGAGTCCTTAATATTTACAAACAGTAGTGACCATTTTCTAAAGGCTCTGTGCTGTATTGTGAATCTGTTGTGTATCATAACTGTATTTATTCACATCGAAATACACTATTACTAGTTATACACTATATATACACTAAATAAACTATAATTCTAGTTAAATGAGGCTGTTGCCAAACAAACCTCAGAATTTCATTGGATGACAGTCATTTCGGTTGGGATTTTATTGGCCAATCTCAGGCCTACGTGATCTGATACGTTGCTTACTAGCATTCATACTCGTCAAACCGCTCCGCTACCAACATACAAGAGCAGACGCACAACATCAAGTGTGCAGATATAGGTAACGAAACGTGCAGAGAGAAATGAGCAGTGGTCAGGGAAACGGAGGACTCGTCTTCAGTGAACGAGCACAGCAGAATGTTATTGGTGCATGAATTTGATCCGAATGCTGAGCTTTGCCCCTGTGTTTGATCTGCAGGTGCTGTGAGTGCGGCGCGTCTCTCTCACACTGGTACTATGAGAAGGACGGCTGTCTCTTCTGTAAGAAGGACTACTGGGCTAAATTTGGAGAGCTGTGTCATGGCTGTTCAGAGCCCATCACCACCGGACTCATCATGGTGAGTCCAAACCGTCCCAAACCCAATCTCTGCGTCTCTCCTCACCCCACAGTCCTGCTGTCCGTCCTACGGTGTCTCACAGCCGCTCCAGTTACACGGCTCCCCAGCGATTCTCCATTCACACAGTCACTGCTGCGTATCACTCGTGAGCAAATCAACCGCACTCCTGTGTGCGTTCATGAAAGAGCTGCTATCTATAATTCAGACGCAGAGCTCATGAAGGGAGCGTTTGTGTGGCCTCTTGTTTTAATGCATTCACTGCTGGCTGGTTTATTTAGAGCGAGAGCTGTTTATTTGACAAGAATCATTTGAATCATTTATGACTGTTTGAATTCCTTCATTGTGCCTGAATCTTCACATGTTAACTCTTTTGCATCCAGTCTTGGCATAGCATATCTGTAACTGAATGCAAGGTGTCATCTGGTCTGTTTACATTTGCGTTTTCATTAAGTTTTAAAACTTACATTTACATGCACGAATCATATCATTTTACAATATAATCAAAACGTTCCACAGATGTTGCAGTTTGGTTCCCGTAGTCAAAATGTGCCAAAGTATATTGACGTTTTAAGACTTAAAAAAACTGCCTATTTTATTTTATTTTATTTTTAACAACATTTGCAACTTCATATAGTTGCCGTTTGGATTTTTTCCTGATCCAAAGACATAAACTGTACATCATGTTGTGTTTTTTTTTTTTTTTTTTTTTTTTTTCTTCTTTTTTCCTTTAAATTCTCTTTAACTGGGGGGATGGTACATATGTATGTGGATGTATGTACAAATATATGTGTGTATTTATGCATATGTATATACAAGTGTATTTATTTATATTTGTGTATATGTGTTAATATGGATGTGTAAGTATACAACTGTACACGCTGTAGCATATGTTTGATATGTATATGTTACATGTATGATTTCTTTTATCCTTTTCTGTTAAAATTGTTCTACATTTATTGTGAATCTTGTAAATTAAACTAATTAAAAAAAAAAGT